TTATTTAATGTATATTTATTTAATTATTATATATCTGGTTAGTAATGTGTGTGTTTTATATAATATGTATATTGTTGCTCGATAAATAAAATTAGATTTTTTTTTGTTTTTTTGGTGTTTATTGGTTAAATTTCATATGTGTTTTCTGTACATAGTTATACAAATATATATATATATATATGAATACACATACACAAAAAATAGAACAGTTTATCTCACATATATATGTATCCATACATATACAATTATGTTACACATATCCATACACATATTTACACATAATACTTGCTCGAAAGGGAGTGCTTGCTCAGATTTGTAAACACTAAATGTTAATAACTGCTACTATTAAACATACATAATTGTACATAATTATTTAATTTAAAACAAAATGTTCTTGTTTTTCCTGTTCTCCACAACTTTAGAATTGATTATTATTGTTGTTGTTTAATCTATAATTATTTAATGTATATTTATTTAATTATTATATATCTGGTTAGTAATGTGTGTGTTTTATATAATATGTATATTGTTGCTCGATAAATAAAATTAGATTTTTTTTTGTTTTTTTGGTGTTTATTGGTTAAATTTCATATGTGTTTTCTGTACATAGTTATACAAATATATATATATATATATGAATACACATACACAAAAAATAGAACAGTTTATCTCACATATATATGTATCCATACATATACAATTATGTTACACATATCCATACACATATTTACACATAATACTTGCTCGAAAGGGAGTGGAAAGAATTAGAACTTATTTGCTCCCACCCCCAATTCATTCCCGTATATATTACACCATATGGTTGCTGCCATTGTCTGTTACTAATAATTTATGTGATATTATAATAGTTATATACAAATAACCAAATACAATATGTCCGTCTCAATAATCACAATAATACATTATAATAATCCTCATTATAATGTGTCCCAGTATTTATAATAATCATGTAATATATAAAATATAATCATCTCCTGTTATATTGTTAAATCACAGTTTTATAATAACAATAATAATATTTATAATAGACATTAATATCTGCTCCTGTCATTATCATTATTATTTGCTCAGCTATGTAATCATATCCTGTACTGTTGTAATTATATCACCATTTATAGTATCAATATTAATAGTAAGAACAATTATGATCATCCCTACTACCGTTTTTTATACAATAACCATCACCCCATAATCACAATCCTGAGAACACCAAGCTCCGTCCCTCAGCCTTATATTTTTTCAACACCATTTCTTTGTATCTTGATTTAAATAGGTAAATATTTGGTCATTGCTTGAGCTGTGTTCCCAAACCATTCCAAAGTTTGACACCACACACCGACACACACAAACTTTTCCTGGTGGTTCTCACCACCTGGACTTTAAGGTCCCCACATCCCCTCAGATTATAGGCCCCCTCTCTTCCTGTAAAGAACTTTTGAATATTGCCCGGTAGTTCATTTTTGTTGGCTTTATACAAGAGTTGTGCAGTATAAAAATCAACTAAATCAAAAAGTTCTAATAGTCTGGATTGCAGAAATAATATATTTGTGTGATCAAAATATCCCACCTTATGTATGATTCTAACTGCACGCTTTTGAAGTATGAAGACGGGATGTAGTGAACTTTTATAGTTATTGCCCCAAACTTCTATACAATAAGTTAAGTAGGGCTTAACTTGACTAATCAAACTAATGAACAGTACAATATATATAATGCATTATATTCCAGGGCATATTTAATTATATAGATACTTTTGGATAATTTACCTTGTATGTATCTGATGTGTGTTTTCCAGCTTAATTTACTGTCAATAGTTATCCCTAAGAATTTAATTTCTGACACTTTTTAATTTCTCTAAAATTGGTTTAAATTGAGGTAGCAGAGAGACAGGTCTATAGTTTGTGAAGATGTGCTTGTTTCCATTTTATACATTGGTATTACTTTTGTAATTTTCATTTTATTTGGAAATATTCCAGTCTGAAATGATTCATTGCATATATACGTTAGAGGTTTTGAAATACTATTTATTACTTTTTTAATTAGTGTCATATCTATATCATAACAATCAGTAGATGTTTTATTTTTGCATTTATTAACAATAGTTTTAATCTCTGTCTCCCTCACATCAGAGAGAAAGATCATGTTTTTAGTTTTACTAATTCTTTATTTACTATATTTATATGTGTATTATAATTATCACTAGAATATAATATATTAGTATCATCAGCAAATAATATCAGTTTCAATAATTTAGATACATGGAATATGTCATTTATATATAAATTAAATAACTTAGGACCCAATACTGATCCTTGGGGGACCCCACAAGCAATGCCCAGACACTGTGACGTAAACCCGCCCAACTTCACAAACTGTTGTCTTTCAGGTAAATAACTTTTGATCCAGTTCAAAGCCACTCCCCTAATGCCATATCTTTCCAGTTTATTGAGTAAGATTGAATGATTGAGTGTATCAAAGGCTTTCCTTAAATCAATAAATATTCCAACTGCATATTTTTTTCTGTCTAGGGTGTTTGT